CTTGATGTAGGTTGCCAGGCCTTTAAAAGTTTTGCACGTGGAGGACATGATAAAATATTTTTTTAGGTTTTATATATATACTTTTGAATAACCGAAAAATCATAAATTACTACATTAATACCATAGAATTCTACTATACTTTATCAAACTTAGTAACTAAGCTGTATTTGGGTCTAAAAAAATATGAAATTGAAATCTTGATTCAAAAGAAATGGCACTAGGTATGTTGGAAAGGCTGAAAAAACCACTAGGGGGGAATTCTGAGCTTCCAATTGGTTATTCATGTAATACACAGAAGTAAGTGTATATAAGGGAACATTTCCAAAAATGGAAGGAGGTGAGCGGGGTGCTACTATGATTTATTACGTGAACAATATCTTAGCAAATAGAAAAGACCTTCTTATTTTATATTCTAGCTTGTCAATATCTGTAATTTGAGTTTCTAATTCGTATGAAACTATAGACGTAGTATTTTGACTTAACAAACATCTAATTTGAACCAGTGCTGCATTCAACATACCATGCAACACACAAAAATAGATGTTTATCCAAGTTTTTTTAATATTTACTTTTAAATTAACAAATTGAGTAATGTATAGTTCTAAAATTTGAATTATAATCTACAGTTTGATACTATACTTATTGACATAAATTCATGAGATAGTGGTTCAATAAAATTTTTAATGTGAGTCAACAAACGAGATGACACGGCCTTTCACCTGTGACCCATCTCGAAAGGGTTAACGTACATCTGCAGACAACTATGCAGTTTTGTAATCAGTGTACTTGATTTAGGGGTGGGTGGGCTATCCCACAATTTTATATCTTTGGATGTATTCAAGGTCAACTCATGATTATTCATGAGAAGGTCATGTCTCGTAAGTGAACTCTGTTTTTTTTGTTTGTTTTTTTTATATATATATACCTTTCTTATATTTTCTGTAAATTCTTTCTTATCTCCTTGGTAGGTGGCGTTACTTGGACCCTGTAGCACTTTGCTTGCTTCCACTCGTTCATCCTTAAGAGATGACAAGCATCGGGCAAACACAGACTCTCCTGAAAAACAAAGTGTGTTTTAAAACATTTTACACAACAGTAACAACTGTTTGAAAGTGAGAAGTTTTATTTTATAGCTCAATTCATCGGTTTAGAGAAAAATTCTAAACACTCACCTATTAGTGTCACGGGAATACCGTATTCCAGAGCCGAAATTGCTGTCCACTTTCCCGTTCCTTTCTACAGAAAAAAAAAAAAATAAGGTCAAAATTTTAAGACAATGCCAAGCGTTTAGACCATGGAAAGTTTCTAATGACATCTCAAAAGCATAAGTGTTAGTGACCACATCTAACCAAAATCCCAGTTAAGTAAAATACATAACATTAAGTTACTGTTAATCAGTTTAGCCATTCACTTCTACTTCTGATTTTACGTACAATTTAAAAATCTTCCACCTTCAGCAATAGGGATAGACACGGTATTATCGTACGTTTTAAGATTATTTACGACAGTATCTCTCCTTTAACAGTAACCACTGGCTAGGCTTAATCTAAAGGTTATAATAAAGTTTGCAATAACTGAAATTAATTTCCTAAATCACATGAATTCAAAGGAAATCAAAATAGCTAAATGTTTTAACTATAGAGCAAGTATCATATTGAAAAGTATATATTAATAAAAACACATATGTACGAACCATCTTAAAGTGGCAAATAAATCAATAGTATAGATTATCCAACAAGAACGACCAAGATATAATGGGATAATGTTAACAAAAAAAAAAGTCCAGCTACAATTATAAAAAACAACTATAAAATCAATAAAGTTTTAAAATTAGTATGAACTAAGAACATGTTGAATTATGTGATATTCATAAAGTTCTTTAAATAAAAATGTTTAAAATTTTCACATTACAAGAATGAAGGACATCTAACAGGAGATAACAAATGTTTCAGGAGTAAAAAAAAACAAAAAACTTCCCAACCTGTCCTGCAGCATCCTGTATCTTTGTGATTAACGGTTCACCATCTGTATCTTTGTATTTTAAAATATTACTCGTGATTTCAATGAGGAAAGAATCCAACTCTCCTTTATTCCACTCGGCAAGTACCTACAAAAGAACTTCACTTGGATTACACAACATACAGAGGTGCGAGAATAAATTATTTTTATGTACAATAACTAAAGGACTGGACAAGTTTCAACTATAAGGCTGAAATGTGCAATAAAAATCTTGTAAGCTGCAGTGTTTTATTTCTTCCGCATTCCTAATGTGGGTGGATAGAAAAAAAAACCTATAGTTTATGTGATTTTTTATTCGATATTTTAGGCCTATCGGTTTCTAATGCCAGCTTTCTGCAGTTAAGCAACTACTTTTAAAGTATTATCTTCCAATTATATGTTAAAAGAAACAAGTGCTTTGTGCATAATATCCATCAACTATAATGAATTTTGTTTCTAAGTTTAAAAACAATTTCCTCTCAAAAGTCACTCGCCATAATAAGTTTACATAGATGTACTGGAAACTGAAAAAAAAAAGACCATTTAAATACTTAAGAAGTCTGAATAATGGTGAAAGAGAAGAGGACTACATGATTAATGTCTTACATTTCACAGATTTTGAAACAAACACTAAATACAGTTGTCTTTCATAAAGTTATTAACATATTTAAAATAGTTCACTTCCAGTAAGAAGTAATTGTAAGGAAATTGTCTATCTTGGATGCTACAACAAACAAGTTTTGGAAGAACTAACATACCACAAACTTTACATAAAAATAGTTTCTTAAAGATGCTTTAGAATATAAACAAGCAGGAAAAATTTTAGGACATCTTATACAGTAAAACGAAGTTAATTAAATTTTATGCTAACATCTGAATTACATACATTTTAACAACAACTTAGGAACAATTCACAGACAACTAACACTACAAGAAACATTTGTACAGCAGATTTTTTAATATGTTGTACGTTCAATATAAAATGAAAACCAACTTCAGGATTACTCCACTTATTAGAAACACTGCGACATAAGATCACCGAGACTTTATTTAGTGCATATGTTTATTACAAGTAACTTTTGAGACTACTACCTCCCCACACACATTAAAAATAAGTACTAATCAGTTAATATTAAAATAAAATCGAGACTTTATTTAGTGCATATGTTTATTACAAGTAACTTTTGAGACTACTACCTCCCCACACACATTAAAAATAAGTACTAATCAGTTAATATTAAAATAAAATCAAGACCCTATTTAGTACATATGTTTATTACAAGTAACTTTTGAGACTACTACCTCCCCACACACATTAAAAATAAGTACTAATCAGTTAATATTAAAATAAAATCGAGACCCTATTTAGTACATATGTTTATTACAAGTAACTTTGAGACTACTACCTCCCCACACACATTAAAAATAAGTACTAATCAGTTAATATTAAAATAAAATACTTTTATAAACATTACACAAGGATCAAGAAGAAATAAACCAAGTGTACTATTAAAATCTAAAGAATTCAAGTTTGATATTAAGCAAATAATGTTCAAAAAATGAATTTCTGATCCATTCTTTAATTAATGAGACCACAAAGGTGCTAACTTTAAACAACAAAATTACAATGTTTAATAAGTTATGTAAATTTTTTTTTACCTCACTCATGTCATCATGACTTAATTCCAGAGCATCCTTCATTAGTTGATACGCTTCACAGATGAGCTGCATATCTCCATACTCTATCCCATTGTGCACCATCTTCACAAAATGTCCAGCACCATCCTCACCAACCTGTATTATAAACCAAAATTAATGACCAATGACAACCGGGAACAGATGAAAAAGCAAAACATTCAAATGAAGAGAAACATGAAAGTTTTTAGGATTTAAAAAAAAACACATGTAAAATATGTTAGTGCTGTGACTTACAATGTTATTAGCTAGAGAAACCTAATTACAACCGAGAATTAAAATAGAGAAACCTAATCACAACCGGGAATTAAAATAGGGAAACCTAATCACAATAGAGTATAAAAATAGGGAAACCTAATCACAATAGAGTATAAAAATAGGGAAACCTAATCACAATAGAGTATAAAAATAGGGAAACCTAATTACTACAGAGTATTAAAATAGAGAAACCTAATTACTACAGAGTATTAAAATAGAGAAACCTAATCACAATAGAGTATAAAAATAGAGAAACCTAATTACTACAGAGTATTAAAATAGAGAAACCTAATCACAATAGAGTATAAAAATAGGGAAACCTAATTACTACAGAGTATTAAAATAGAGAAACCTAATTACTACAGAGTATAAAAATAGAGAAACCTAATTACTACAGAGTATTAAAATAGAACCTAATTACTACAGAGTATTAAAATAGAGAAACCTAATTACTACAGAGTATTAAAATAGAACCTAATTACATAAAAGTGGAAAAAAAACAAAAAGACACATCAAAAAAACTTTGAAAAGTTATAATATCACAAGTGTAGTTTCTTTTGCACTTGCAGAGAAAAACAAGTGTATAATCTCAAATGAAAACACACAAGATCCTCAACCCCCCACCAAAAAAAAAAAAAGGTAAATCTATCCAGTGTGCACCACAAATTCAGAAAAACTATACCTATTATTTCGGGGAATGTTTCATGCACCATGT